CCGACATATGCTTTTCATGAGAACAAAATAATACAAAATGTGTCAATATTCACCAGATCACAAATATAGTGTTGTTCAAGTAAAGATAATTTAAGAGATAATATTTGAAATAGTCACTCAATTATAAAAACTTTTCCAGAAATTTAGTTAATTTTGGTTTTAATTCAAAGTTAACTTATTTATGAATTTCTTTTCCTTAAAAAGTCACCCAATTTTGTTTTTTTTTTTTAACTCAAAACCCACACAATTATAAGCGTTTTTCTTACAAAGTCACTTAAATTTATTTTTTTTTAATTCAAAACCTACATAATTATAAGTGTTTTTCTTACAAAGTTACTCAACTATTAATATTTTATTTTAAAGTCACTTGATCTATTTAATTAATTTTTTTAATTTAAAATTTGTTGTTATTTCAAACAAAAATTTATTCACTTAAACTATTTAATAACACTTTTATTTTACTCTTATTCCATTTTTTTAAAAAAGAGTCAGATCATATTTTACATTTTGTTTACCCTATCAAAATCAGGTTCACAATTTTATCCTTTCTATTCATATAGTTTTTTAATTAATATCAATTTGATATGGTATGTTTTCTGTTAATTTTCGATCAAATAATGAACGTTGGATAGCTATTCTTTTAGCAACTGCACGTATATTTTTTAGGTGAGTTTCTCTGAATTCCGTGAAATTGTAGTGATTTGAGATTGGATCATGAAACTTTTTTCCTTTCGGATCTATTTTACTCTCTATTTTCTATATTTGGAGAGTAAAATAGAGGATGAATTTTTCAATCATCCTGAATTTTACTTTTTATTGTCTATATATAGAGAGTTGAATAGTAATTATCTAAATTTGAAAAATTACTATTTACACTCTCTATTTCACTTTTTCACTATCTTATTATTATTTTGTAATAAATATATTATTTTTCAATTAAATCTAATATTTGTTAATGTAATATAATATTTTTGAAATATATACTTTTTAATATATAATACTCTTATTCCAAATTAATAATATTTCATTCTCTTATTTTTTTTGTCAATTTAATATAATTTGATTTTGTTATTAATTTTCACTATAAAGAATACACAATTTCAAATAGTCTATAATTTTTCAATATATTCGTAATTCACGTTCTCAAAGGAAGAAATATTACACGATAAAGCAATAATCGAGACAAAAAGATGTTGAACGTATATTTGGAAGTTTACAATCACGTTTTGCAATAATTTTAGGATAATCATGCTTTTGGAAAAAGGAAGTGCTACAATGATATAATGACTACATATATTGTATTGTTCAACATGATAATTGAGAATGAATGTGATCTTAATGCATCAATTCAAGATTTTCGAGAGGTTCCAATTGTAACGATAATAATGGTGGTAGATGAAAATCTTCGATCTAAATAATTTTTAGCTAGACATAGAAGAAATTACAGATAAAAATGCTCATTTTGAACTCTATAATGCGTTAATAGAGCATTTATGTGAGCAACATAATAATCTTGAAAGTTGGATATTTATGTAATGCCTTGTATAATCATATTTCATTAATGATTACACTTTTATTTGAATTGTTCATTAATTTGTATATTATGTAATATTAGCTTTTAAGATAAAATTTTTAGAAAAATCAGAATATAGTATAATTTTACACTAAAAAAAGAATTTATCAAAATAAAAAATTATATTTCATGAAAATTAGTAAATTGTATAAAAGTGATTATTTCAAAAGAAAAAAAGGATTTATATTATGATTAAGAAAATAAAAATGAAATAGAAATAATAATATAATATTAAAAGTAAGAGAATTTTTTTTTTAATTAAAGAGTAAGAGAATTGGGTCGTATAAAAAAATAGAAAATTTGAAATTTAAATAATGAAATAAATTATAAAGTTGGAGATGCACTTAGTAGAATATAAAAGTAAATAAAAGGGTCCTTAAATGGTTTAAACTTTGGATGAATATTCTTTTATTTAAGTAAAATACTCATAACTGTAAGTAAGTATTTATTTCAAATAAATTTATTCTCAAGTGTATTTACAGAGGCAAAATATATAAAGTATTGGACAAACAATTTCTTACTCGGAGAAGGAGTAATTGTAAAAAATGTGTTGGCGGTGGAATGATCCTCTTGAGAACAAGTGTCTTGCCACTTGTCTTATGCTAAGCATTTCTATTGGCTGATATATTCCATTTAATTAGATAATATTTGTTTAATTTTGGAGAAACATTTTATAATGTTAGAACTAGATAGACTCGAAACATTAATTTTCTACGCTAATATTATAGTAATATTCATCTTATATAATAAGTTATATTATTATTGTAAAATATTTTAATTGTTCACCTAACACTGAGTAGAAAAATCAAAAGAGGATTAGCACTGAATCCATTTTCTGATTCAATAATGGAGCTACAACTTTTTCTTGCCACTTTCTTCAGCATATTGCTTCTCATTTTCACAGTGAATTTATTGTCCAAGAAAAGAAAATCAACTCTAAACTTGCCTCCAGGTCCATGGAAATTGCCTTTCATCGGAAGCATTCACCATTTAATTGCTAGCCAATTACCTCACCATACTCTTAGAGACTTGGCCAAAAAACATGGCCCCTTAATGCACTTGCAGCTCGGTGAGATCCCTACGATTGTTATTTCGAGTCCTCGTGTAGCACAAGAGGTATTAAAAACTCACGATCTCGCGTTCACGAATCGTCCTGGGCTGTTAAGTGTACAGATTTTGACTTACAACTATTCAGACATCGCGTTTGCACCTTATGGAAATTACTGGAGACAAATGCGAAAATTATGCACCTTGGAACTATTGAGTGCAAAGAATGTTGTATCATTTGCCTCTATTAGAGAGGAAGAAGCATTCGATCTCCTTCAAGACGTTGAATCAAAATCTGGATCAGTTATTAATCTTACAGAAAAGATATACGCTCTCACAAATGCAGTAATTTGTAGAGCAGCTTTTGGTAAGAGGAGAAAAGAAGAATCAACATATTTCATGTCTTTGATAAAGGAATTATCATTAATGATAACAGGTTTAGACCTTTTCTTTCTCTTTTTTTTTTTTTTCAAAAAAACAAGTCTCTGCCCATTAACGAGCCTGCCTTCTGTACGGTGTTTTTTAGTAGTGATTGCATTTTCCCCTCAATTATTTACTAATAGGTTTGGACATAAGTGAGGTGTTTCCTTCGCTGAAGTTTCTGCAAGTCATTACTGGGACTAAAGAAAAATTATTGAAGCTTCATAAAAAGTTTGACAAGGTGCTTGACATGATAATAGAAGAGCACAAGCACGAGTATGATGATGAAGAGTCATCAAGGAAAACTGATTTGGTTAATTTGCTATTAATGCTCCAAGAAAGTGGCACTCTTGATTTTTCCTTCACTAGAGACAATATCAAAGCAGTCATACTGGTGACAAATTTCTTTGAATTTCTCAATGCATATTCACGTGAACTCATAAATTAGTTGTAATTATAAATGTGTATATATGCAGGACATGTTTTTAGCAGGAACTGAAACTTCAGCAACCGTTCTCGATTGGGCTATGGTTGAAATGATGAGAAGCCCTAATGTTATGGAGAAGGCACAAACAGAATTGAGAAGAATCCTCAAAGGAAAAAACAGAGTAACAGAGAATGATTTGAAAGAAGTTAGTTACCTAAAATTAGTAATCAAAGAAACTCTGAGGTTACATCCACCACTTCCTTTGTTACTTCCAAGAGAATGCAGGGAGGAATGTGTGATTGATGGATATGACATACCTATTAAAACTAAAGTAATAGTGAATGCTTGGGCAATTAACAGAGATGCTGAATTTTGGGAGGATTCTGAGAGTTTTACACCAGAGAGGTTCATAAATTCTGCAAGTAATAATTTGGAATTTATCGGACAGAATTACGAGTATTTGCCATTTGGTGGAGGAAGAAGAATGTGTCCTGGAATTTCATTTGGTTTATCAAATGTTGAGCTTCCATTAGCTCAACTTATCTACCATTTCAATTGGAAGCTGCCTAACGGGATGAAGCCTGAAGATGTTGATGTTACTGAAACTCCTGGTTCTAGTTGTAGTAGAAAATATAATTTGTGTGTTATTGCTACCTCTAATGATCACGGGATTTGATAATTACAAGTGTAATTGTGGTTGTTTTTCTTTTGTTGAGAATAATGTATATTCAGTATATCTTTTTTATGATGGAAGAGTGTTTGTTTTTTTAACTGTGAACTATACTTTTATTTAGAAAACTGCGTTATGTTAGAGAGACTATGTACATAATCGGAGTTCCCATTCGATTCACATGTGAAATCGGAGCGGCTGAGTTTTTTGCAATTAAAATTATTGATCAACTTTCATTGTTTGGCTGATGAAAAATAAATAATTAGTAGCAATAACTTTTTTGTAGCTGTAGTAGGACATTTAGTTTATGTCTACTTGCTACATGTAATAACGAATAGCTGAAGCCTGATGTTACTGAAACTCCTGGTGCTAGCTGTATTAGGAAATTTAGTTTATGTCTACTTGCTACATGTAATGATCTTGGAATATGGTAATTAGAATATTCATTAGGACAAATAAAGAATTTTGCACCTACAATAAAGGATATTTATAACCAGACCCCTAAAATAATGCTGCTATGACAACTCTGTATGCAATGAAGAGTCTCTAAATAATTTTGTGACAACAAATCTTTTCACTAAGAGAAAATCTATTGCTCTTTTGTTGTACTTGGAAGTATGATGAGTTGAGAATGGGAAATCAATGCTGCAGCAAACAGCAAGTAAAGAGAGGTCTTTGGCCTCCAGAAGAAGATGAAAACCTCATTAGAAAAATTTACAAAGAGATTTTGACTGTTTCTTTATTGAGTTTGACGGATTACACAGATATTGAAAGAGCTGCAGTCTGAGGTTTAAGGCAAGATCTGAAAAGGGATTGTTTTAGTGAACAAGAAGAAATGATTATAATTGATGGGCACAAATAGCTAAGCAGAAAAGGTGTAAAATTATATTGAGATGAAGAAATACAACAGAACAGAAAGGAAATAGGAAAGATCAACAGAGATCCAATACTGCTACATAAAAAAGGAAATTATATTTCATTATCATTGAATCAGTATACAACAAACAAACCCATTAACTATCAAGCACAGGCACAAGGATTATCAACGGTGACATCATCCTCATCGCCGATCCTGAACAGCAAATATCCGATCGCCAAACCCAGAACAATAGCAACAAAAACGCCGCCGTTGAATGACATAACAGCCAACATAAGCATATACCCAATTGCCGAATTGATCCCAAAAACGATCGCCGTAGCGAATCTCGCCGAGTTCCACTTACCGCCGACGGTCGGGAAAGTGTAAAGAAGGGGAGCATTCACAGCGGCGCTAGGCGGCGAAGGGTAATTCCTCCTGAAACTGGCAGAGATAATCCTGAATCGTTGACGACGATCTTCCATATACTGATAAAATAGGGCGAAGATAAAACAAGCAAGTAAAGTAATTGCATAGCTAGCCCATGAATCAGTTCTCCAGAAATCGAACAAAAGGGTTACTTTTTTACCCCAATAAAAGGTCATGTGCATCATTTTTGCTTTCCGATTTTGAGTTCTTGCCGATTTGGGTTCTTGGAGAAGATGGGTTTACGGAGAAAATGGGTATTTTGTTGATTCGTTGGGCAAAGTATGGGCCTTTTGATATGATTCGTTCGATTCGATGATGATAAGGTGTGACAGAATGATGAGAATATAAGATGAAAGAAGAGGAGAATTGGGTTTAGTTTGTGTAATGTGTACTACCTTGTACTATACGTTTTAGGACAGTTTATACCTATCCTTTTAAACTTGTACTACTATTTTCCTCTCATTTAGGGGTGCTAAAATGATAAAAAAATCTTCATTTTAAATGCCCTATTGGTTTTAGGTCCTTTTTGCCAGAGCTTTATTGAGACACGTTTCGGATTCAAATCCTCTCGATTATTAGAGAGCTTTATTGAAACTTGTCTCAGATTCAAGTTCTCGATTCTTACTAAGGGTTATGACCTTTAACTTATTGAAAAGTTGTGACATTTTTAAATAAGGTACAATAAATATCTATTTATACTATATTTTGTTGTCTAATAGAACTATAAAAGGGCTTCATCTTATTTTTCAACAACGTATTTAACAAATTCTTGACTTTCTCTACTACTAAATTTAGTATTTTAAGTACATTTTATTGTTGTTGATTGGTTCACTGACAACGTGATTTAGGTACTGATACACTGGTTAGTAAAATCGTTTTATTCTGGGAGGATATATTTCATTAACATTAAATACTAATTGAGTGACTAATTTCCTTAAGAACACAATATGCATTCAGTAGGCTCAATTTTTTCTTTGAAAAAAATAATTTGTATATTATTTCTAATCTGTTTCATATTCTTTTTCTTTACTAACTAAAATTTCTAATTTTGAAAATACTCTTTAATTCTTTGTTGCTTCTTACCAAGTTTTTCAAAGTTATCGTACTAACTATTTTAGTAATACTGGCTGAACAACATTTACCCCAATGTGAAACTTGTTTTAGGTTTGAGTTTGGATACACATTTATTAGAAAATATATATTTTTAAAGTTATTCATAATTCAAGAACGAAACTAATAATTTATGTCAAATTTAAGATAGTTTCAATAGTTACCCAATAATGGCGACATCTAACTAACATAAGTGTGTATATAAGGAACCTTCGGTTTTTTTTTTTCTCTAGCAAAGATCACGAAGATCTCCTTTCCTGTTAACATTTTTGTATCAAGCAAATAGTTGCTTATATTATATTAAGAAAGAATACTAATTAAATTTCATTCAACAATTTTAAAATACATAATTTATCTTTCCTAATTAACTTTGAGTACGATATTATTTATGTCAATCTGGAAACAGTTATTAGGACTAATTAGAGTTGAGTCAAAGAGAAACTTTTGGCATGATTTTGTCTGTTAGCTTGGGTCAGAGTTTTAATAAAGTTTTAACTTCAAAGCTAGTACTAATAATAACATTACTATTTATTTTTTTAATGAAAGACTTGTGAATGACCTGAGCACGATCAATAGCTTAATTAGACAATGCTGAAATTGTAAAAAGATGATTAGACTCATCTTCTCTTCCTTAATCACAAAATAAACAAGTGATGACGGGTTGCTCTACTCTGGTAAAATGCGCCGGTGTATATTCGACCCGATTTCGGAGTCACGGATTGAGGGGCTAGGCTAAACGCATTGGGTCGGTAAACGAGCCCATCTACTAGTTCAGATCTCGGCCCATTGTGGCACGACTCCGTTAATAGTGAAAATATCTAATTACGTTAATATTTCTATCATAATTTATTTATTCTCTCTAAAATTCAACGTAATTACAATTTACTTCACTATTTAATAACTTTATACCTGATTTGATGACAAAATATATGTAAATCACACTAGATATACATTATATACATGTATCTGGAGTTATTCACATTTATCTGGAATACCAAATACGTGACTGAAATACGAGAGTGGTAAGCGAGATTTTATCTATCTATCCCAAATATATGTAAATCCACTTGGATACAGTGTATCTAAAACAAAATACATTTAATTTTGATCACATATATCCCGAGATACATGTATATAAATGTATTTGGACACACCAAAATCTGATAAAATATATAATATTATACATTAGCATGTAGCTAAGTAATTAATTTCTAAACTAGTAAGATTACCATGATAGATAAGCTAGTATTAAATTTGAAAGAGCAAAAAAAAAAGAAAGAAAAGGGAAATGTAAATACAAAAAGGTGATGTCGTTGCCTTGAAAACAAGGAGTTCAATGGAGAAGAAAACAAATAAGATTAGTAACAAAGGAAGGAAGAAAGATCTAAGAAAAAGTGTTTGATAGCTTACAGGGTAAATTAGGGGTGTCAAAACTGAATCCAAACATATAAGAAGATAGCTCACAGGGTAAATTAGGGGTGTCAAAACTGAATCCAAACATAGGTAATCTGTCTAAAATTTTAAGGGTTGGGCTCAAGATAATTTGAATTAGGTTCATTGTCAATTCATTCATACTTAATCCATTTGAAGAAAATTCTCAATTGAGCCCAATTCAATCTCCAATTCCAACCCGTTTTAAAACTTATTTTAGATATGTTCCCATATTGAAGGTATGAATTATTATCTATTTAACATGTTTTAGGATTTATCTATCAATTTGTTACTTTTTTAATAAAAATTTCTTGAGCGGGAAATCAAATTGTGATTATACAAGTTAAATATCAAGATGTTAAATTATTGAGATTAATCGGATCAAATTGGGCGAGTCAAGACCCAATACGTTTTTTAGCTCATTGAATCTAATCAATTTGAACCCAAAGTGAACTTGGGCGGGTCAAGACCCAACCCAATTGCTATTAAATCCATTTTAATATTTCAAATTTCAAACCAACTCGCACATTTAACATCGTTAGAAAAATAATAAAAATAATACATTATAAAAAAATCAGCTCGACGAAAAAGACCCTTCTTTTTCTACGTACTATCCTCAGGTTATCTCCCAACCACCACACAAAACTAATAGTATGATTGTATCTTTTTAAATTCTTAATTGTTACAAGTTATAGCTCTTTTATATATAATTTTAAATATACAAGTTCAGTTTTTAAAAATCATAAACATTGTATGTTTAAATACACCATTAAAATAATAAAATTTAAACTACATTATGTAAATTAAAATGAAAGAATTGGGTAGTACATAATTTTTTTCTATATTACACTCTTTATATCCACGATATGACTACTTAATTAATAACTCAGATAGACTCTTTAAAAAGTTAAATAGATTACTTCGAAAGATATTTATACATTATGTTTTAACTTATGTTAGTTTCTTTTTGAAATATTACTTTTTTTATTTAGTAATCTTTTAATTTTACTATCACATATTATATGTTTATGATCATAAAATGCGAAGACTATTATGTAAGATCGTAATTTTTAAAAAGAAAATTCTATACTTTCCTTGAATTTGTGACTATAGACAACCAACCAACTTTAGATTTTTTAAATTTTTTTTTTTATGATCTCAACTAAATTAAATATATGTATAATATATCAAATATTATTTAATTTTTTGCTCTGAAACACAAAGTAAATTTACTATATTAAGTAGACCCTTTATATAATGATATATTATCAAACTTAAGAAAGTAAAATGAGGATATCAAATTAGGTAGATAAATACAATCAATAACTAAATAAAAGATACCACACAAATAACAAATGGGCGGAAGGTAGTATATATTATTATATTATATTATATGGTCAGCCTTGGTTGAGTTGTCATAATTGTATGCAGTCTTATCTTAACAATCTCTGTTCCCTATAATTTCCCCCTTTATATTAATCATTGTGTTACTTACACTTTTTGGCTCACTTGGTTAGACTCCATTTATTATTTCTATAAAGAAAAAAGGCCAACCATGCATTGCTTTTAACATATATATATATATATATATATATAGCTAGCGTTTGGTAGATTTTCAAATATTCTTGGCAAATATTATTTGAGTAAAAATTTGAAAAATATGATTTATACACACAAGTTTTAAAAACTATCAAAACTAACTAAAAGTCTGTATTACAAGTCAATTGAATGTTAGTTACAACAATAACAAAATAATGTCCATGACACTGAAGCAATGTGGTAATTTGGAGTGAGTGCAACAAGAATTATTCCATACATCGTGAAGTAGATAAAGTACATGACTTTGTTACTTAACGCCAATTTTTAATAATTTTCATCAACAATCATATCATTATTTAATATTCACTAAATATTTCATCACTATTTTGGTGTTCGCGTAAAAAATGATGTAATACAACGCAAACAAATACTAGAGAGGGTGTTTTTGTAAAAGATAAAATATTGGGGTAAAATTTTAATTTTTAAAATATCCCAAATAATGATATTTGGCCCAAATACTAGAACTAGTATTTGAAAATTTAGGATATTTACCAAAAATATTTGCCAAATAATGACAAATTGTATGGACAAACATTATTTGCTAAATTTTTCTCAAATATTATTTGGAAAATTTATGGCCAAACGGGCCCATAGAGTGAGTAGTAATTAGCATAAACCTACTCTTTTGGTTGCTTGATCCATGCAAATAATTAGGGTCCTGTTAAGGCAGGAATATGAGTGGGGCAGAGGCGGAGCTTAGTGAGATTTTGTGAGTTTGAACAAATTTAATAATTTTTTTATAAGTTTTATATTTGTATTTTAGAAAATTATATATATATATATATATATATATATATATATATATATATATATAAACTTGTAAAATTCTAATAAATTTGATCGTTAGCTCAGTGAAGGTTTTGTGGACACATTCATACAAAACAAAAGCATTCTTTAAATATTTTTTTCTTTTATTCTAAAAGTTATAATTTTTAAATTTTTAATTCTGACACCGCCTCTAGAAGAGGAAAGAGGTACGAATTTAAAGTTAATTTTTTATATTCATCATCAAATTAATAATATTCAAAAAAATATTTGTTCTATATATATATTGTTGTAATTCGCCCGCAAGAGCCAGTTGCCTAAGGTGTGGCCTCATTTAATTTCAAGCAATAAGAAGTTATAGATATTTTAAAAAGAAAATATTAAATATTATTTGTAGAAAATATAAATTTCTCTTTTTCATATACGAAAATTAATAGAAAATTGTCAAATCTAAAATACTATGTCTAGGAAAGATTAAATGGACAAGTTATAATAAATTTCATTAAAAGTAAAATTAAATTTAAAGCCTTCCTTCAAATTTTACTT